TTAATATTTTTTTACCTTGATTGACCGTGGGAAACTGAAACTATGGAAAGTGAAACCACAGATAAATGGGGACTATTATACTTCCTCAAAACCACTTTACCACCAATTGAACTTGGTGAATGAATACTAGACCTGCTCTGCCATGTGTTTGGGACAGAAGTCAGCAAACTAGAACCCATGGGTCAAATCTGGCCCACCATCTGTTTTGTCAGTAAAGTTTTACTAAATCATAGCCCACTTATTTATGTATTATCTATGTCTTTTTTTGCTCTACAAAAGCAGAACTGAGCAGCTGCAATAAAGGCCATATAGCCCAAAAAAACCTTATTAACCATCCCTGATCTAGAATTATTCAGCCTCAGTGGATTTTACTGACATCTATTCAATAATGTGAATCACACATCTCCCTCATTGTCTAGCTCACAGGATAGTATATTAAGAGGCCCAAAGCTGCCTCTATAAAATCTTTCTACATAAAACACTATTAGCTATACACCTGTTAAAATGGCCCAAATTCAGAACACTGAACACACCAAATTCTGACAAAGATGCGGAGCAATAGAAATTCTCATTCATTGCGGGTGAGAATGCAAAATGGTACAGCCACTTTAGAAGACAGTTTGGTAGTTTCTTACAAAACGAAATATGCTCTAACTATATAATCCAGAAATTGCTATCCTTGGTATGGTATTTGCCCAAAGGAGATGGATATATATGCCCACACAAAAGCCTGCACATAGATGTTTATAATGGCCAAGGACCTATGTCTGAAGCTAATCCAAAAACCTAGGAGCAAACAAGATGTCCTTCAGTATGGTGAATGGACAAAAAAAATGTGCTACATCCAGACAATTGAATATTATGCAGCAGTAAAATGAGCTATCAATGAAAAGCCATGTAGGAATCTTAAATGCATATTACCTACGTGAAAGAAGTCAACCTGTATGGACCCAACTGTACAACATTTTGAAAAAGGCAAAACTATGGAGACAGTAAAAATATCACTGGTTGTCAGGGCTTGGTGAGGGTGGAGAATGATGAATAAGCAAAACACAGAGGATTTTTAGGGCAGCGAAAGTATTCTGTACGATACGATATTGGTAGATGCATGTAATTATACTATTGTCCAAACCCATAGAATATACAACATCAGGAGTGAACCCTAAGGTAAACTATGGACTCTGGGTGATAATGATGTGTCCCTGTAGGTTCATCAGTTGTAATAAATGTACCATTCTGGTGGGAGAACGTTGATACTGGGGGAGGCTACACAGAGGGTATAGGGGAAATCTCTGTGCCTTCCACTGAATTTTGCTATGAATCTAAAACTGCTCTAAAAAATAAAGTCTATTTTTAAAAACTATTAGTTAATGATATTGTGAAGGCCACGAAGAGCTATTTACCAGCTGTTTCCAGTTTGCACCTTCTGGACAACTCATATAATTGCAGTTCCTTGCTCTTGGGTAAGGCCATGTGACTATAGTAGTTAAGTGGAAGGGACATGTATCACTTCCAAGCTGAAGCAACAGCTTCCAGATCCCTCTTCCCTCTGGCTCAACAACTGGCAAATTCAAGTTTGGGTCTCCCCTGCCCACCCCCATCCCCCCACACACACACCCCTGCTAACATCTGGTGAACACACAAGAGAAAGAAATGTCTTTTTTGTTCTAAACCTTTTGAGCTTTAGGGGTTGTTTCCCCAGCAATATCTAGCTTTTCTTGACTGACACAGAGATGATCAATAAATTATGTTATTATATTTGCAAAACTATGACTTCTCATTCTGACCCTCCTGTTCAGTCAAGGATACGGCACACTTAATGAAGCAAAGTTGACCCGGCCATGCATTTCGCTTTTCACTCAAAAATAAAAGGAGTCTGAGCACTCAGTGCATGGAAACTCTTAGTAAAATCTTGATCTTCTATTTCCAAGCACCTCAAAATTCCAAGGAGTCACTCTTTCACACTCTCTTCCCCTACAGGAGCCTCTTACTCGTGCCTCTCAAGCCATCTTTGTTCTAACTTCTAGCAGTGGGTAGCCTCCTGGGGAGGGGGGAGGGTTCTCCTTACTCCCTGATTAATTTTCTCCCAAGATTGGCAGCTCTTACCCCTTCCTCAGAGAACACAGAAGGAGACCGAGTCTAATCAAGTAAAAAAGGCTGCAGAAGGTTGTGAAACCCCACAGGTAAAAAATATTTCACTGTAAATCATCATTTCTGCTCATGCCTGAGTATCTCTAT